AAAAAAAGCCTCTTTCTGTTGTTTTCTGGTTTATTTTAAGGTCTAAGAAGCTAATTCTGATGATCTTTACTCAGAATAACTTTTAAGAAGTGCATCAAAGTTCATGTTGTGGGTAAATATAAAATTCTATATCTGACGCCATTAGAGCTGATGATTCAAAGTGTCTAATTTGTCCTGCAGGTCAGATATTAACTGCTAATCGTTTGTTTAATCGAACCTCAGTCATCTAAAAGTTCCCCTTTAAGTGTTTTCTCATCAGGACAGACTTTCTCCTGGAAGCGCAGGTTGCTGCAGCTCTGCAGACGTGGAGCAGATGAGTGCCTGCGGTGAAGGTCGAGTCTCTCGCCTTATTTACAAAGTCCTCCGAAGGCTCGTTCACACGGCGTTGTCCAGTCCCAGCGAGGCGGCGTGCTGCTTGGCTCTCAGACGGAGGTTCTCGATGCTCGTGGTTTTGGGGTTGTGGCTGGCGAGTCCTCCTGCGGCTGAGGCCTGCAGCAGCGGGCTGTTCCACACCTGCTGGGCGTGATGGGACAGCGACTGGTAGTAGGACTGACAGGGCAGAGAGCCCAGCGGCGCCGGCGGCATGTTCACGTTCATTCCCAGGTAAGGCAGCGACGACGGAGCGGCCAGGTCAAAGGCCGCCGGGTAGGGCACCAGGTTGTTGGTGGCAGCCATGTGCTGGCGGAACTGCTCCTGCAGGCGGAACAGGCTGAGGGGGGAGGAGGAGTAGGAGTGGCTCTGAGAGAGAGCCGCCGTGTTCGCCAGGCTGGAGGAGGAGGACGGCGTCACCGAGGGGGAGACCAGCGGAGAATCTGCTCAGAGAGAAAAGTTTCTCATCAGTATCCGTGGGTTACGGACAAACCATGGCAGCTTTGTCCCGGTTAAGCTCACCTGGTTTGGGGCTGAGCCTTTTACAGACGGGGTGGGGGTCGCCCGGGGTCTCACACTTCAGCTCCTCTCTGCCACATTTAGGCTCGTCCTCCTTATCCGTGGCGTTGTCCTCCGTTGCAGAGTCGCTGCCTGAATGCTCCGCCGAGGTCACGTTCAGCTCCATGTCCAGAGGAAGGTTCCGGACCATGGGGACCTCCGTTTCCAAGGAGGAGGAGGAAGGAGAGGAGGAGGAAGGAGGCAGCTGGGTGTCAGGAAGGATAGTGGCTGCAGGAGGCGCCTCGTCCTTCTCGCTTCCTCCTTCCGCTGACCCGTCCTTCTGCTTCTGCAGCTGCTCCTTCTGCAGACTGCGCTGCTTCTTACGGAACTTTGCTCTGCGGTTTTTGAACCAGACCTGAAGGCAGAGAGATTTAATAGTGTCAATACACTGCAAAAAAAGTCCTTTTTTCTTTAAATAAGTGGATTTTTTCTTGAATTAAGGATTTAAGTGAAACAGTCTGCCAATGGAACAAGACAATTTACACTTAAAATAAAAAAAAAAACAATTGCATTGTCTTATTTCAAGTGAATATTATCCAATTATCCTTATTTTAAGAGTAAAAATACTCATTCCATTGGCAAATCATCTTTTTTACATGCTCAAATTAAGGGTAAATGACATTATTACTCATTTTGAGATTGTTTTTGCAGTCTAACTAATGAACACTAACTGGGGAAAAAAATCCAGATCTAGAAAAGTCATTTGTTCTTAAAATAAGTGCATTTGCTCTTGGATTGAGGAGGTAAAAGACATTTTGCCAACGGAACAAGACAATTTACACTCGAAATAAGAAAATATAACCAATTTGTCTTATTTTAAGTGAATATTATCTAATTATTACTCATTCCATTGGCAAACTACCTCATTTATCTACTTAAATTAAAGGTAAATACACTTAATTTATGAATTTTTACTTATTTCCAGATCGTTTTTTCCAGTGTAACCTGGAGCATCATCAAATCTGCATCTAAGCCAATCATTATTTAACGAGCAGGAGGTGATGATTCAAGTATTTCTGGTCAGATATGTCGGGGGAAGCAGTGGGAAAGGGAAACATTGCTTATATTTTGAATAAATGCTGTTTGATGGATTTTATAAGACAAGACAATTTACACTTATAAGAAGAAAACAATTGCATCGTCTTATATTACCTGAATATTATCCAATTATCTTATTTTAAGAGTAAAAATACTCATTCC